GATGTTTACACACTCTCATCTCTCAATATCTAGACTTGAGTCTGGAACAAGTCCCTGGAGCTGGTTTCTAATGCTTCCAGCTTGAGAGTGCTGATCAAACCAGCTACCAGATACCATCTGACCTCAGTAAACTTTCCAGAAGAAAACAAAGAAACGAGATGGTAGCTATAGTAAGTACAGTCTTTGTGTGCTTTCTTTGTTGGTGAATGTTTAGATGCTTACCCTAGATGTGCCATTCTTAACATGCAAACTTCCTGACATGACAAAACTTCAAGAGCATTGAATTCACAAGGTAAGTGCTCTCTATCATTCTCCTTAAAGCTTATGCTTTACGTCATGCAGGAAAATGCAAGTCAATTTTGGTCATGTTTGTTGTTGAGCTGCATCTTGTTACCAAGCACACATACTTCTGCCACCAATTTGCTTTTTGAAACTGTTGTATGACATTGAATTTAGCAGACACAAAACTTTTTATTTGTTCTTTTTTAGATACAACGTCCTATGAGTCCATTCTGAGTTCATCGTCAAGCTCAGGTGGTTCAGAGGAAGGAGGAGAAGCTGTTTTTAGTGATGGAGAGCATATAGAGTTCAAGGACAATATTAGGGATGATGCTGTTGCTTATATGGTGGAAGAATCATCATCAGATGGAGATCAAGATGCAGAGAAACTTATTTTCGGTCTCAAAAGGAGATATTTGATTTCAACCATATCCCACTAAAGAAGCAATCTTGAATTCTGAATAAAGAAGAACAGTATTTCTATGTATTGCAAACAATGCTTTATGAGGGATGTAAGTTGTCTAGCTTCTCAACTTCAACAACTTCAAATAATACACTGTTATGACCCAGCACTAAATAACAAAGATAAAGATGTTTAACCTTGCATAAACTATGTTATGCCTTCTCTTGAGGTTCCCTACATATAGTTGAGTTATCAAATAGTGATTAAAAGTCTCTTCCTTTAATCAGAATAGTCTTTTTTGTCATCTTTACTTTGCAAATTTTGCAACTTTTTAGTATTCAACTTAATGCTAATAAAAGATTAACTATTCTTTTGTCTTTATTACTTATTCTTCAATTGTGAATAATCAGTTTTATAATATCCAAGTTCACCACAATGATGACATAAATTGGTGATGATCATAAATTTGGAATCTAACTTGCCACAACACTTGATACAATCCTTTCTACTAAGCAAAGAGCCCTTTAGGTAAATTATATACTATAAAATTGGGAAAATAAACAAATACCAATCATCCACTTTTGTAGCGCACTTGGTTTTTACCTGCTATCGTATGGTGATTTACCATAGGATAACATTATGAAGCAGAACCTAAACCCTCCATGTGCCATGTGTCATATGCCATGTGTCACATGCCACGTGTCCAAAGGACAGTGGTGTGGAACCTGAGGTTCAAGGCCTTGGGCCACTAAACGAAGGAACAAATTCCAAACTCCCAAGCATGGAGCTGAGTGACGGAAAGCAACTCCAAAGCATATCACCCAAGGAGTGAAGGGACAGGAGCTGAAAGTGACTTGGAACATTCCTAGAGCAACCAACATCCTAATACCAGGACCAGCATTTAAAACGGAGCCAAACGGATACTAGTCCTATTTTGGCATACCGGTGGCCTAATATAAAGACATGGGTACTTAACCAGCAAGCATGGTGTGGAACTTGGGCTTAGACCTAAGCCAAATGCAAAACAAAGACAAGCATGTAAATAGGAGTTAAACTATGCCTCAGGTTGATCGGCCATGCACGACCTACCCACTATCCCTACTATACATTTAGAACCCCCCATAGCCTCCCTCACCCCCCTTTGAGGAACACACGCTTTGGGCTTTCACCCCAAGCTTCCCTTAGTACCAGAAGTTAGTCTCTAGAACAAGCTTGAAACTTATTAAATATGGAATGTTCTTAGATTGCAAATTTGGACACGAGACGAACATCATTGTGTTCATGAGAATCTCTACATTCCGTAAATATGCCAAATAAGTAAATTTGGACACTTTCTATAAATAACATTTGGGACCAAAATGAGACTAACACAAAAGGTATGAT